CCCCAAAACCCCAAAACCCCAAAACCCCAAAACCCCGGATTATAAAAACCCTGTAGAAATTCACCTATAATTAAATTTTAAGCAATAAATAATATGAGTGAATTCAGAACAGTAGTGTTCCATTCTCCAGGAGCTACTCCGCTGAAACCTCTGAGCGATCGGAAAGAATTTTATTTACTCAGTAAGGATACACACAAAGTCAATGTGATCTCAAGGTATGAGGGTTTAGGAACATTTATTGAAGTTTAAACCTACTTTGAAGAGATATTGGGACAGCTATTAACTTGTGTAGAGCCCAGCATAGAGACTTAAAGAGCACAAAATTGACTCCTTTGAGAAGAGAGAAGGATAAAGCTAGGGATAAGGCTCGATTGGGAAGTCTTGAGATGAGAAATAATTTGAGTAAATTTCATGGTTTTCAACAGTTTCTTATGTAGTTTAGATCATCTTGGGAAACTACAGAATCAATCTGGAGATATCGAAACATTATTGTATAATTTTAAAACTCCATCTGAAAGCCTTACCAAATTCATATCACCTATAACAAAATCATACTCCAAAGCAGGGAAAAGCACCTGAATTACTCCAAGTGATCAACCTGACCTTGAAAAATCAACTTTTTCTTCCCAAAATCCCTACAATACCTCCTCTTACCAAAGCCCTATTATAAAGCGTACTTGCTCTCACAGTATAACGTAAGTGTTTCCTTTGATTTATAGGCGGCCTTTAAACCTCTCCTCAAAGATTGCCAAGCTTGTAATTCCCTTGTTCTCATCATTCAGCACCAAAAATATCTAAGAAGCCCAACAGAAAGACAACTGTCAGATGTTATCAATCAACAGTACATTGCCTTCTTAGAGAAGAAAGAACTTTCATGTAAAAAGGATCAGTTCAATAAAAGCTGAAAGATTTATATCAAATAACAAAAGAAATCATAAGAGGAACCAGAGTGAGATCCACAATCCCAAGGACCAACAATGGATGGAGCATGTTTTGTCCAAGACTTGGTACGATATGCATGCTTATTCTTTAGGCTTAAGATTCATTCAAAAGGTTACTATGATAGCTTTGAAAACAACCAAATTCCTTCTAAGGATATACAGAAAGAACCCCGACTAAAGCCACGAGATCCTTATTTTGACAAGACTAAGAAAATTCCGCTGCCTTATGATAAGTTTTCTTTTAAAACAAGTAAGATCAAGAAGGTACTTGACCGTGACAAGTCCTTCTTTAAAGCGAACTATGGATCTCCTCTGTTCGATAACTCAACCCTCATGAAATGTAACGATTGTGATTAGATTTAACATTTAGATTCTGAGAATAAATAACAAGTTTGCCAATGCTCTTAGAAAATATTCGAAAAATCCTAGATCAGCTCCGAATGAAGAGTCTACAGGAAATGAGAATATTGTAATCGAGAATGAAAAAGTCCCTGTTGAACTGAAGAGAGGGAAGACTTTTGTACAAGAGAAGGAAATAGCGAAATATAACACCAATAAGGTTGACATCAAGTTTCTCAACACAGTAAGTCAGATTCATGGATAAAGTCTTATATTTAGGATACTGAAGTTCCTTTCAAGCTGCAGCCATTTAGGACTAAAAGACCTTCACTATCTTCTATTGAACGATTGAAGAATAGGATTACTTCATTTCGCCCGAATTGCAAACTAAAAGTTCCAAAGAGAATCTACGGAATTTCTATAAAGAATGTAAAAACTTTAGTCTGATAGTATAGAAAATTTTGAACAAAACAAAAATTTTAATGAAGAACAAAGAGGTTCAAAATTATACCACTATCAAAAGCAGGCAAAGAAATTTGAGGTAATTTCAGACATAATTGTGTAGAAGGATTAACCATCAGAAGAAGAACACAAAATATGATGTTTCCAAGAATCTGAACCTTGACTTAATTATTTAACTTATTATTCAGTTTCAATAATATTTTCTGTTTCAGGGGTTTTGGGGTTTTGGGGTTTTGGGGTTTTGGGG